CAGATCGTTCAGATGGTGACAGTCCGTCTGCGATCGCCGAATCGAACACTTTTGAAGCCTGTAGATGAGAGTGGTTAAGAGCACTGACGGCGGCGAGGTCACTTTGGGATGATTCTTGCGGCACGGTAAAAATTTGTCCGTTATCAATGGGCTGTACGCATCCAAGAGACTCGCCTTTAAACAGTTTGATGGTATGCGGAAAGGGATTGGTAAGGCAGAGAGCACTGGCTCCATTAGAAATTGAGAGGGCTGAATAAGGGAGCAGAAGTGGTTTCCGACTTAGAAAGAGGCGTGATGGCTCGAAAAATGCTACTTCATCACGGATGCCGTCAGAGACCACAGGGAGCAAAACAGCTGCTGTCGGTGGAATGTCAGTGTCTTCTTTGACAACTAGCTTGTGCGCGGCTTGATTAGTGTGGTTGTAGGGCTGCTCGAAGAACGGAAGCAGTTCAAGTTCGGAACGGGCACAATCTATAACGGCACGATTACGGGATAGGAAATCCCAGCCAAGTATGATGTCATGAGAGCACGAGGAAAGGACGATAAACTCAACAATGTAGTGGTCCTCCGCAATTTTGAGTCGGGCAGTGCAGGCGGCTATAGGTCGAACAGGTTCTCCATTTGCTGCACGTAAGAACATATCAAGCGGCGTGGTCACCTTTCGGAGCTTGCGGCAAAGTTTGGCGTCCATAACAGACACAGCGGCACCGGTATCCACAAGAGCGTATGCATGGGCGCCGTCTGCAAAAACTTCGACGATATTTGACGGCAAGGTGCGAGGACTTGAAGATTTCGATAGCGCAGTTCTTGCCCCTTGAACTGCGACGGCTAGTTTCCCTCATTTTGAGGGGCTGGTCGTGGACGCATGGGTGACAAGGAGTGTCGATTGGGTGAAGGTGAGCGACGAGACGAAGTTGCCGGATAGTCACGGGAAGACGTGTTTGACTGACGATCCGAACTTTCATAACCAAAAGGTGGTCGGTCCATGTAATTGCTTCGTGGTCGGACGTCTGTGTAGGCGGGCACGCGACGACGGCAGTATCGGGAGATATGGCCAGGTCCGCCGCACGCAAAACAGATCGGCCGGTTATCGCGCGTTCGCCAGGCATTTGCAGCAAGGGGCGCCGCCCACGCGGCGTACGGCTGAGTCGAGGCTGTGGTAGCGAGGGGAGGAGCCCATGCGACGGAAGACTGAGTAGGAGTGGTGACATGCGGCAGTCCGTTGAACGGCGAGGGCTGGTGTGGCTGCTGCCTCTTTACTGCGTCAGCATAAGTAAGAGACGCGGCGACAACTTGCTGCTGAAAGGGCACTGGCATAGCCTCGGCAATCTGGTCCTGAAGTGCATGTCGGAGCATGGGAGCTAACGGTGTCGGTGGTTGCTCTTGCTGCTGCTGCGGGAGCTCTTGGCGCTGACGAAACGGCAGGAGGGAAAGCTGACGTGCGACCTCCTCACGCACAAAGTCTTTCATTTCTGCTAGAAGGCGAGAGTGGTCAGGTACGACGTCCAGGGCAGCGAGTGGTTGGTTAGGCTGAAATGGACGACGGGTGAGAGCTCGTTGCCGTCGCAATTCGTCGTAGTTCTGGCACAGAGTTACCACTTCAGACACCGTGCCAGGAGACTTCGCCAGGACCATTTGAAAGACGTCGTCATCAACACCTTTCATAATGTGCTGGATCTTGGCAATTTCGCTCATTGCGGCATCGACGCGCTTGCAGAGATCGAGTATATCTTCGATATAGGTGGTAAACGTTTCGCCAGGTTCTTGTGCCCGTGAGCGCAGGCGTTGTTCGGCGCGCAACTTCCGCACGGCAGGGCGACCGAAAACCGAGGATATTGCCTGCTTGAAAGTGGCCCAGTTCTCGAACTCGGATTCGTGGTTTGTATACCACAGTTTCGCCACATTAGCCAAGTAAAAGTTGACGGTGCTCAACTTAGCAGCGTCATCCCACCTGTTTGGTCCACTGACTTTTTCGTAGGACGACAGCCAGTCCTCGACGTCCTGGTCTTCGGCGCCCGAAAAGATCGGGGGGTCTCGCTGGTGAACCGGGCCGGGGCAAGTAGGAGCCGCGAGAGGTGCTGTCTGTTGGGCAGCGTCAACTTGCATGGTCGACGGCAGCGTGCGGGATCGGAGTTCCAGGGTGTAGGTGATGCAGTTACCCAGCACGATCCACCAAATGTAAAGGGGGTTTATTGAAGGACTGAGCAAGCGGGTGGTAGCTCTAAAGGAACGCAGGCGAACCCAGATGACGGTGCTTGATCGCCGATCTCGTGCCTTCTTCTTGTGCTGATGATAGCTGACCTGATGGTATCAACGTCTTTCTTATTCACTACATTATTATTATTATTATTATTATTATTATTATTATTATTATTATTATTATTATTATTATTATTATTATTATTATTATTATATTAAGAATCAGCCTCAATACGTCCACTGCAGAACAAAAGCCCCTGCTATGCTCCGCCAATTAACACGATCCTGTGCTTTCTGCTGCCACCTTACACTTTCCAACTTTTTAAGCTCATCTGCACCCCTGATTTTCTGTCTCTCCCTTACGCTTTGCCTTCTCTTCATATCCAGTCAGTTACCCTTTCTGATCAGCGGTCATTCTGCCTGCATGCTACCTTCCCAGCCCATGTTTATTACTTCTGGATTTGAACTATTATATCCTAACTCCCGTTTGTTCTGACATACTCTGCTCCCTCCGTGTCTCTTAAAATGGCACTTATCATTTTCCTTTTCATCGCTGGCTGCGTCGTCCTCAGTTTAATTTGAACCCTTTTTGGGAACCTCGAGGTTTCCAGTCCAGGTTTAGCCTTCAGGGTTGGCTAAAACTGACTGTTTCAAAAATATTTGCACTTTAGGAAAACTTCCTAAAAATTATGAGCATTTGTTCTTTTAAACACCCGCTATTATTCCAAGATCACATGGCTTTTCATTTTATTTCTTCTATATACTTAACAGTCTTCTGCCTAAAAGTACCAAGCTAAGTCTCAGTACATTTCATCGGTATTATATTTCGTAAATTTCAGAATAAGATGCTGGACGTCTTCATCTAAATGATCACAAGATCAGTCAACCACCTTTTGGTCGTGTTTAAGAAGAATCGCATAAATGCGCCAAGCAGTGGCCTAATGTTTCAAAGTTTGTTTTGGCTCATACATGGCAATTCATTTTTTTTCAGATACAGATACGTAAATAATTATAGAAGTTAATGCCTACAGTGCCAATCGAACTATATTAAGCTTTTGCTGAAATTTCAGTGCGTCTGTCACAGGATTAGAATACTTTTGCAGTGAGGAAAATGAAAATTGCTTATGTGTGCTGGCGCGTCTGATTTGCACCTCCTTCCACTGAAGTGTTACCAAGAATATTGCAATAACCTGGTGTCTATTGAAATGCATTTAGGTTGTCCGATGCGCTTGCTTTTATGTTTTCCTTGAGTGATTTCAACAATAACAGAGAAGTAGCGTAAACAATTTTTCCCATTGCTTTGAAGCGATGATGGAGCACCTTGCGAACAGACTTTCGCGTGTTTCTATAGATCTTATGTAACCATCACGTAGATTTTCACTTATAAACTGCTCATGAATGACCTAGCATTACGAACAGTTCTGCCACTAAGGATTATATCCCTCAAGATACCTTGATATTCACAGTCAAAACTAAACTTGGTTTGTAAAAACGTCAAGCTCAGGTTGTGCAGATAAGAACACAAGGTTCTGGTCAGCATTCTCAAGTTCGATGGAATATACTGTATGCAAACATTATGAAACCAGAACTTTCACTGAAAAAAATATTATTCGTCCAAAAAAGAAGTATAGAAGTTTTGGAAGCACTACACTTTTCTACCCATTTTTCAGTGCACCTAGAGAAAGAACGACGCAAGCGTGGGTCACAACATTTGTTCACATGAATGAAGAAACAGGCTGTAATTTAATGAGTATTGTATTTTTTTGCTGTTGAAGTTCTTTTTAGGAGAAGCTCACGAAAATTGTAAGCGGAACAAAATACTTCCTTTTCTGAAAGTTATTCGTAGATGCCATTCGAACTATGGGTAATAAAACTTGCCCTATATTGAACTATGTAGATGCGTTTTTCATGAAAAAAAAGCTTTTGTCAACATTGCGTGTATCATTATACCCCAAAAATGTTGAAAGGAATGTGGCTTACAGGAAACGCCATAGGTTAAAGATAGTTTTCTCGAAAAGGCCATTTTTAAATTTTTTACATCTGTTTCGTTGAAGTCAGGGACGGGATATTGTGAACTACTAGGCTAAAAAAACAAAAAAAGAACGCTGCGTTGCCTCAATGACTAACATATTAAAATGCGTCAAATATGACTTCCTCAGCCTGTAGCGCCCATGCTTTTTATAATGTGATACAAGTGGTTCGGGGCATAATCACGGAGCAGGCCTTATAAAACAGCAAATACGCAGCCCCGTTTCATGCGACAACCTTCGCCCGGCGGCCAGCCGCTTGGCATGCTTAAGTAGACGACCCGTAGCGGCGGCCTCTCGAGGCTTCGGCCGTTATCATTGATGGCGGGCGAGCTCCGTTTCCGCGCGATAAGGATAATCACCGGGCGAATATGATAAAGCATGCTTGACTGTGAAAAGTTGCTGCCAATAATTTCTAACAACAAAAACTTTGCAGTTAGAACCTTCAGACCATTGAACAAAGGGTTCAGACCATTGAACTGCAGCAAAGTTTGGGAAACGGGTGTTGTCTTCATCACGGCAGTTGCTGGCTGGAAGAATACTAGACGAAGCGTTGTCTCCATGCTAAAACCCCTGTCCCAGGATTTCAAACATCTTCGATAGTGTATTTGCAACACCCTGCGCCATTCGCTTATTATTTCCGGAGATAAGAAAGTGCGTAGAGGGCGAGCATGGTGCTTTCGCCTCACGTAGACAGCGGACCTTTGAAATAAGTGTTTAAAGGGGCAGTAGTTTCCACTGTACAATTTATTTCTATATACAAGAGGGCACATTTCAGCCGTGGTAGCCGTGACCGTGTCCGTAGCTGATGACTTTGTATCCATATCCGTGGCCATAACCGCCATGGCCGTAGCCGCCGTGACCATATCCTCCATAACCGCCGTAGCCTCCATATCCGCCATATCCACCGTAGCCCCCGTATCCACCGTGACCGTAGCCGCCGTATCCCCCGTAGCCACCGTATCCCCCGTAGCCGTGGCCGTAGCCACCGTAACCGCCGTAACCACCGTAACCGCCATAGCCTCCGTAGCCTCCGTAGTAGCCAGCCATGGCGGTCGCGACCACCACGCAGAAGGTCAGCAGGCACAGCTAAAAAAGAATAAATATTTTCATTTGATGCAAATCAGATGTTTGTGCGCATTGCATGGGCGCTGACATACTTCGTTAGTGGCCATGTCCCGTACCTATGATTGTACGTTTTTTTCTGATTTCATAGAGAGAATTCACTGAAACGTCCCTTAAGTGAGAGCACAGACAACAATCGCAGAATTCATGTTAAGGGTACATGTACTGGTTCGTAAAAGTCAATGATTGCATGCACATTATTCACAGGTTGAGTTACTTTGATATATCACTGATCGTGAGCGCAAACACGTGATTGAGCAGTGCTACTTGTAGATGAACTCGCATTTCAAGAACCAGTCACAAGAAAAAAAAATGTAAAACTTCATACCGCAGCTATGCAGGAACCTCTGTGAGGTGATTCGCGCCTTTAGGTCCTTCACTTTTCTTGAACTTTGCATAACAAAAAATAGGGTTTGTGATAAAAGGCGGTCGGCGTGAAAACACGGAAACTGCAGAAACGTCAAGACAATGTAAGCGCTGAGCCCTCGTCCCGATTTTTTTTTCTCGCGTGTTCCTGTTTGGACTCCTGCCGTCTTTCATAACGAATCCCTACAAACTAGCTCAGTCTCTTGTCAAGTGAAGAAATAAATATTCAATTCATATGAATGTCACAATACCTCATAGCGAAACCACACAAACCACGGGAAAGGGGAAACACTGAATTGTACAAGGCATGTACAAGTGATGAACATAAAATCGTAATACTGCTTTGTTGCGGTCATGTTCCGTGGTGAGGAGCATTTTATGAATAACCTCGTCCGAGCATAATGTTATCAAGACTTAACATAACTGACTTATACTTTCTTGAAACACTCTGCGTTCCTAAACTTTCTGGTTCTGCGTATGTAGAGTTGATAATTTATCATATCTTATGCTCAAACTACGAATTTAGTGACGACATTAGGTGACGAAGTTTTGTAATCCAAACTTAAACCGATGTAGTTGAAGAGTTATTAAAATAATAATATCTGGAATTGTACACTGCGAAACAACACTAGGATTATGAAAGACGGTGTAAAATAAAGGGCACCGGAAATTTTTACCACCTGATGTCGTTAGATGTGCATTGACATCGCACAAATCTCTACAATTTCCCCTCCACCGAAACTTTCCCCTCCACCGAAACCTGCAACCTTCGAGTTAGCAGCCGAGCACGTTAGGCGCCGAGGCACCGTGGCGGACTTGATTGATAAATTCTGTGCTCAGATCAACATTTAATTCTTAATGCTGCTAATGCTTGCATATAAGTCAGCAGAACAAGAGTTGGCGTTCACGAGTGATTTAGAGTTTCCATCTTACCGGGGCCTTCATGTTTCTCTCGTTTAGGCTGGAGGGTGATGTGGGTTATCCGAGATTGGTCCTTTGCACTGCAGGCAAAGATCAGTCGGTGTGTCGGCATGGACCGATAGGGCCCGTATATATACGACAATCCCCTCACTTCGTATTTTACCTCCTTTCTTTCGAAATTCTTCAGTGAAAGCGTCATGCTGTCTGAAAAAGTTCGAAAGAAAGGGGAATAAACAGCCGTGATTCTGTGGCCAGGCTGTAGAAATTGTTGGAAGCGTTTCGCTACCCTGTCCGATAGATCTTTTCTTGTCCGTTTCGTTCCATTTCTCATCCGCGCTTGGGGCTGATGAATAAAAACAAAATTTATCGAGATGGAACAAAAATAAAAAAGGCACCCCAACCCGCGCTGCACTGAAAGTCGTAATTGCGGTGTTGCTTCCAGATCGAGCGAAGAAATATAACGTCAAAGCATCGCAGCCAGTAGCAAGCTAGGCATTTGTTACAACGCTAAGCCCTCTCACGTTTCCGGTTGAGCGCCAGCAACTGAACGGGTTCTGTTAACCTTAGCGCTATGCACGATTCTGCCAGACCTCAGAGTGTCGGCATCGGGCTCGTGGGCGATGGCCCGTTACCGAACTGGCTGCCACGCTGGCCGCGCCCACGTTGTTCTCAAAATCTGGACGCCACTGATTGGGCAGCGCGTACGTGCGCGCTCACACAACGCTGATTTTCAATCACCACTCGGCATTGTGTAAGCAGGTTTGAAAAGAACAAAACGCTGTCGGTTTTCAAGGTGGCTATAGCATAAAACGAGTCGTGCATTTATTTGGTGAGGCTGATACGCTCTTCGAACGAGCCTGGCGGCTGAATATGGGGACGACGTAAATTATACCTCTGTACTCCAAAGTTGAGCGATCGTTTCAGTGAGGGGGCTCTATTGAAATACTGAGATTGCGCAGCTGTCACATTAGCTGTGGGGTGACTACTGAAATTGTGCCCACGGCGCCGCCTGCAGGCTTCTACACCGTGTCTGTCACTGCGTCTCCCGTTTTTCAAAAGAGGTTATCCCGTGGCGTCAACCCCACTATGATAAATTGATAACGAACTGGAAGCGTTGGAACATGCGCAAACATTTTCGTTCGCTTAATCACACTTCCACAGGTACAGACATACGCAAGCACTCTTGCACATACCCAACACATAGTCAACAGAACGCATTACATGTAATTGCAATCAATTACTCTGTTTTGTATTTTGTAGTGTAATGTAGTGTAAAACAACGTTCCCAGTAATTAAATTTACTTGTAAATGATTGCCGCGTATCAATTGCATTTCGCAGAATCAGGTTATATTCTCAACTGTCTTTTACTGCAGTTATGCTCCACCGCAGTGGTATATAGTGGCTAAGGTACTCGGCTGCTGACCCGCAGGTCACGGGATCCAATCCTGGCTGCATTTTTCATGGAGGCAATGCTGTAGGCCCATGTGCTCATATTTGGGTGCACGGTAAAGAACCAGAGGTGTTAGAAATTTCCGGAGCACTCCTCTACGGCGTCCGTCATAAGCGAATACTGCTTATGGGACGTTAATCCCCACATATTAATGAACTACTGCAGTTATCGTCCCGAAAAATACGCCACCGCTCTGTAGCCCCTGCCCCCCTTCCACATGAACACACAAGGGGGTCCCTATTTTTCACGTTTTCCTTGTCCCTGCCTGCAACGCTTTACCCGTGAGCCAACAACAGCGAAACTTCACAGAGTACACAGGCACCGTACAAACGTTTTACGCACACACGTATGTCAAAGGGTCACGTGTTTACTGTCGCGTAACGATGCCAATAGCAACATGGGTATTAGCAACACTAGAAGTTTTACGTTGGGCTTGTGGCAGCGAGGACGGTGGCCGTGGACACTGTTATAGATAAATGAGCTTCAGTGGATGGCGCTTCGCTACAACTGTCATTAACCCGACGTGACGACTGTATCAAAGGAGTACGTATGTACTGTTTAAAAGATTGGATAGCCAACACTAAAACAATTAATGACCTCTTAGGAATGTTACGTTCTGCTTCATTTGCGAGACGTGGCGTGGTTCTGTGGTGGAATACTTCATTGCCACGCAGAATGAAGGGGTTCGATTCTTGCTGGGACCCTAACATTTTTTTATACATTCATCTGTTCAATGCAGCTGATGACAGCTTTTTTAACGGTCATGCATTAAAATTACCCGTGTGTGTTCTCGCCGTTCCTGGGCATATATGAAGTGTGAATTACCTGTGGCGTGTGCCCGCATACCAGTGGCTCAAACTCACCCGCGGATACGTGCCACTGTCTGGCGGAAAAGGTTTGGTGACGTACGTGACGGGATTTTGGCATTATTCATGTCATGATGAAATAGACATATTTGTCGAACAACCTTACCCTCACATACTAATTTTGGTCTACCCCATGATAAGGGTATGATCACGAGAGCACGCAGACGTAGGCGGCTAGTTAGATAGATACGTAGATAGACGCTGAAAGGGCTTGCAGTTCAGTGCTGGCATTGCTTGCACTGCAGTGCTCCGCATTTAATATATATTGTACCACTGCCTACATTGCGAAAATCTCGAAATAGCGTGTGGTCTTCGCGACATTCAAAGCTGCACAGCGCACGTTTGTTCTTTTACTTATTTCGCGTCTGCGCGAATATGCCAAACAAACACGTCGAGCACAGGGTGCGGTCTCTAGGATTTGACGAGCTAAAGCTGTGGCAACGAGAATTGGTCTGGGGTACAAGCCGAAGAAGGCAGGCGGAGGCAACTGTCAGGTCAATCACCTCTTGGTGGAACGGCGGAAGCACTTGGCCTTCCATTATTGGTGTGGCCGATATGCACATGCACATAATGTGGGGATGCTAGTTAATTATTAGAATATCAGGGTTTTCATTAGCAATATATCCGCGCAAAGCTACCTTTCTGTTGAACCTTGCCCTCAGAAACCTTTATTTTTCGAAAAAAAATTACGTGAGCGCATCAACTTGCAGATTGATTTTTTTTTCATTTATATGTACCTGAGGCAACATAAGCGTTTCTACACTTTCTCCTAGCATATATGAAGGAAGAGAATGAACCATCATTTAGGAGAGCCCTGTTATTAACGCGATAGCGTTAAAGAGCTCTTTTCTCAGAAATCGCGCCGTCGGCGTTGGCGTTGTTGCATGCGAGCAAAAAATCATCATCTTCTGCGTGACCGAAAACTATAGAAAGATGCAAATAAAATAAATAATAAAAAAATTCCGCGTCTGAGTGCTGATCACACTGCGCTCATCTGTGTGGCAAGCGGTCGTTCTACAACACAGCTACGCAGCTGCTTGTATATACAGTGAACATAACTTCCTCTGCTTGGAGATGCAGTGAAAGTAACACGCATGCTTTAAAAACACAGGCGTCCTTTTATTGCTTCACATTACAACATAAAATATGGCAGTAATTAATACGTGGTACAAGCGTACATTCCGGTAGGGCGTAAGAACATGTGACTATCAATAGAACTTCGTGGTTTAAAGCTGGTCACCCACTACAAAAAGCGCGCACGTTACTGCGCCTGTTATTTAAGGCCAGATACTGAGTACATAGCAAGTTCAAAAAGATTTCA